ACTGATGCCCTTCGGAAGATTTTTCCTCTCAGTCTCATTTAACTTATTCTCTGCACCCCTACCAAGGAAGACTTCAGAGCGCCGCCCACTCTAGACTCCTCCAGAATTTAATGAAGTCACTTGGCCTCTTCCAAAGGACTCCCGACTTGATTTTGAAAGCTGAGAAGGCGATTAATGAGACACACGTGGGATTAGGGCAACGCATAGCAAAAGCAAAGCATCCTTTCCTATCATCCTCTTAGGAGACAGGGACCAGTTTCAGTATTACTCATACTCCCTGCACCACTAAGGTCAATGGAATTTTTGATCAGGCAAGGAACGTTCACTTAGGTCTTGGACATGCAGGAGTCCGATTTTATTTAATTATTTGCTACATACTCGGCAGGAATTGCCTTTGCCTGTCATTTTAATCGGGAGAGGGCGGTTCTTACTTCAGCCACCCAGATCGCTTTTCCCACAGCAGCACAGTCTTTTCAATCCTGCCAGTCGCCAAACCACAGGAATCTCTCTTTTCTTTCATCTGTCTGAAAATACCCACCCTACCAAATTGCTGTCATGGAAAAGTCTACCTCAGACTGAAGGCTGCCCGCAAAAATCATTTTTTTGCAATTCCAGAGAAGCAGAGTGCCCATCTTCCTACAGCTCTAAAATCAAAGTATATAAAAAGCTGGGAGACACCTCAAAACCAGGGGTATTCACCCTGCTCAGGTGCTGAATTGGCTCGATGCTTAGATAGGCTCATTCAGACCACCCATCAGACTGAGTAGCCTTGTCGGCCAACTATTTTGGTACTTTTATTTTGAAGCTTTGAGGTTTGATCTCAAATTTGAATATACACACCCTATTAAACCCCAGATGCTTGCATTTGAACGTGTGTTAGACATTAGGTACATACATTCATTGAGCCATGCACTTTAGTTAAGTTCCACCGATCCTAAAAGACATTGCAAGGCATCAGGAAAGGTTAAAAATCTTAAGATGGGCAAAAGCCTTGTAATTCCCTTTCCATTACGCACGCTGCTGTATTTGATACCACATCGAATGATGCACACAGCAGCAGTTGCATCCTCCTCCTCCTCCAAAAGGAGCCCCATACCATGAAGGTGCAGTCCTTACATAGGTACAGCTTATTAAGGGTCCAGTACACTTTTTCCTGCAAATTTCCTTCTCTGTATGGGCCAAAACAGGCACATTTTTAACTCTAAGCCCCATCGTACAGTTTCTATTACAGTAAATGCAACTGATTAATAAGCTAAATTACTTAAGAGCTTCAAGGTGAATCCCTTGTGAATTCGGATCTCCTTGATGTTCTGAGGCATTCTTTCAAGCCTACTGATATTTTCATTATAAATGCCAGCTCAGAGATGATTTTTAAAAAAGCCCAACAACTAAAGATGCTGGATTTAAAAAAAAAAACCATCACGCAAAAACCCCAACAAAACAGAAACAAAGAACTTTGATCTCTTCAGAAGACTGATCAGATGTCAAGGGCCTTGATTCACAAAGACAAATATGTTTGCATTTGATGTATTATTACCTAGAGATCACAAGATCCTTCATAGCCTCTTAGAGGGTTGACAGATTAAAAAAAAGAATGCATATTATGCATCAGAGTTTGAGAGACATGTCTCAAAGACAAAGCCGGTTTTGGTTTACATTAGTTGTTTCACAGCAAGTTTCACCGAGTAGCTCTGCTTCATAACTCATCCCGTCCCCACGCATGGAGCGGCATCAGGAACTGGATAAAACGATTTAACCAGCACAAAGCTTACAACCGTATAAATGCAGTTGGTTGCCAGCTTTTGGATTTGGATTTCACGATTGCAAACTCAGTACTGTCAAACCGTACCCAGTCACAGTGCAAGTGAAGCGGCGTCCTTACGAGAAGACGACTTCTGCAGACCAGGTAACAGACTAATTTATCATTTCACAACAGTGACACAGCGATGAATTTCCAGTTGAGACGCTTACTGGGAAGAAGTAATAGGAAAGGAAGAAAATGGGTTGAAAGCTAAGTAACAAAATTTCCATGCCAAAATCTGCATTTAAATTTCCAAACGAAGATGAAGAAAGCCTGCACTACCTTTTCAGGAGCACTGCGGTGGTCCTAGCTTGCCGAGGTTGCAGGTGCTTCATTTCCAAGGAAATAAAGGCAAGTCCATTTACGACAAACGCAAATGGAACAGAAAATAACAACATACTGACAGAAAGCTGAGTGGATTTCATCGAAGACCTAAGGATTTATTTAAAAGGAAAACATTTTTTACAGAAAATGAAATACTTTTACAATCTTGATCAACTATTTCACCCAGATTTTCGTTGTAACATACTCCACCTATGCAGTACAAAAGTACACGTGCAATAATATCAGCATCTTCATTCATGTTTCAGGTTGATGCATTTCCTATGTATGATAATATATACAAAATAATCCAGAGTCCTGAACATCTCCATCTGCTGACCAGATTTTCAAACCAACGAAGTATTTTCTCAGCCACTGTGACCAAGCTTTGCAGGAGCAAAATTTGAATGTGGATGTCGAAAGCTTGGGCTTCAACTATACAGCCCAATCCGAAGCCCAGCAAAGACAGCTTGACTCTTACTTACTGGCTGGATCGGTCCCTTAGATCGACGTTTTACCAGCACACATCTCAACTGATCTTTCTTGCAGGAGTAAATCTGATGGTACACGAGTACAGTTACTCATACAGCCAGAGTCTTAGGAGGAGGACATATACATTATAAAAATTCAGTTGGCTAGCATTTTAGAGAGAAATTAATTTCAAACTCTGTATTAGGAACAAGAAAGCAGTGACCTTTACTTCCTCTGCTAACAAAGACAAAGTACAGTTTAAGTGTTAAAGTATTCATCTGAAAAAGTCTGTAGTGCGTGAATGTCTTCATTTCCCAGCCTAATCCTTAGAGCTAAATATTCGTATCTGAATCGTATTCATCTCTTCAGCTAAGCAGATCAGTCATGATGTAAACCGCATCCTTCCGGCTCTTTTTCACGCAGGTCGGGTTTGAGATTTGTAAGTTTGGCGTACTAAATTCAGAGCTATTTCTGTTGGTAGTGTTACGCAAACTAAACAAAGCTAAAGAGTGCAAGAGCACTTCTCTGGCTTTTGATGTTTCTATATTCTGCTCCTGGGATACCTGAAAGCTTATCTGATTCAGGTTATTCCTTATCAAACTGCAAGTGAGGAGGTTTGTTACAGAACCACACCTGGTCAAGTTTTCTTCAAAAAACTGTTTGTAGAGCTCTGCCACTTTTGTTTCCATGTACTTGTTGAGCGTGGAGTTTGAAAGAGGCTCCTCACAGAGCACGATACTCCCTTCTCCAGCTTCATCTCCAGACAGGGACTTTATAGTTGGCTTTTCGGGATGCTCACATAGAGGGGACTGGCCTAGAGGAATATCTATGGACAGTAAAACAGGGCCATTGGGAAGTTCATCACACACATGGTCCAAAACACAACCCGAATCACACGTATGGTCCCCCACGCGGTCTCCCCCAATATGCAGGTCAGGGTAGTTTTGATAAATGCTGTTGCATGACCAGGAGCTATACAAATCCATCTGTTCAGTATTTTGTTCTCTTTTGGGGATACGTAAAGCTGGTGATACGGTTCCTTTAACAAGCATTTTCTGATCTTCTGCAGGTACCTCTTTTACGGATCTCCACTGAGGACCGCTCCGGTGCTCCATTTTGCTGCTTTTAGCAGAGATCTCATCCCGCTTCTCACGTCCGTCAGCAAAGCCTTTAATTTTTGGGTTGTCTACAAGTTTCTGTCTCCAGATTCCCTCTTTATCCTTTTTGGATGCATGAGATTTGCGAGGCTTATCTTGATGACAGCTTTCCTTATATATGAGTCTACTTAAGATGCCTTCTGCCAACATAATGACAAGTGTGAGTAACAGCCTAATCACCAGCGTTCCATGTAGTCCTGCGAGTGAAAGAAAGACAGCGTACCTCAAACTTATTTGGACAAAGAGGAATAATAATAAAAAGTGAACAACGCACTTTTCATGAAGACTGCCTGTGATTTTTATTTTCTTCTAGAATATTTATTTTCAGTAAACAGTTAACTGCATGCTTTTCTACAGTTTTAACCTCTATACCATGTCACCAAAAACCATTCTGAAGATACAGGAAGGGCATTAATCAGGTTCTTCATCTGTAATACCACTTCTGTCCCTAGATACCTCTTCCGCAGTGTGGCTAGTTGAGATAGATCATACTTATGAGCTGTAAAAATCAGCAAAATTCTTTTACTAGTCTATATCACTACCATCAGTTGCAAATCAACTTTTTCCATTGAAAGACAACAATTTCTAAGAGCTGAAGAGGTGACGTAGGAAGGAAATCAAGATCAAATTCAGACACAGAGGTTAATTCGGAACTGGCCTGAGCCCCTGTGAGGTGCCAAGGAGCTTCAGAAGATGCTGATGGTTCTTTGGGTATAGTAAAATTGCATCCAAAATGCAGTTCACACATACAAATGTTTTTAGAGTCTCTGTTAATGATGATTTTAAAAGATATAAACAGTTAATTTGTCTTCCCCAATAGTAAAGCGACGAGTAGATAGGCTCCAGAGTTTTACTAAATGCACGTGAATAATTAGAAGCTAGCCAATACGTCTCAAAATAATCTACTACGTTTAACAATTCCTTATCATTCCTTTTCAATTCACCTACTGTTAAAATCAAAGGCAATCTTTCCATTTAGAGCCAAGTCTGACCTGAACTCACCAAGGGAAAGATCATCGCCACTCCTCTTACGGAGGAACGGGAAAGATGAACACAAGAGAACCCCTCTGTTCTTCAAATGGCTTTTTAAGCTCCACATATTTCAAGTGCCTTCACACACATCTAGTGTGCTCACGGTTTGAAATAGCGGGGAGAGGCAAGGGATGAGGCAGTTTTACTGAAGAGTACATAGTAAATCTCCCAAAGAACATGACGTACTGGCATGCTGTTTGAAATACACCAAAGACTCTACTTCTATTATGGACAATTAAGGCTCAATACTTTTCACAGTGCTGGCAGTTTACATCAGTAGCAGTGCCATACAAGTCACTAGATACCTCGCCACACAAACAAAACCTCCGCAAATTTAATATGATATTTAACCAGAAAGATCCTCCTCACTCTACTCATTTCCTTCTAACTATCGGCAACCCGACCATATGCTCTGGCTTATTTGTTCAGCAATGAAACTTGATACACCGCGTCACTTTTTTTTAATCCCAGTACTCCTTCCAGAAAGCTATTCTAAAACTCCATTGAGAGATGGAAATTTCCCAACTTCCCTCCTAAATTTACACATTGCCACAGTACAACTGTTTGCTTTTTTCTTTTTTGGAGTTCTTTTTTAGCTTAAATCGCACTGTTCCCTCCCAGAAGCTGAAGGTAACACTGGAATTGTGATATGCCTGGAATTGTGATATGCCTGCAAGCGAGACCAAAGCAGACGAGAAAGGCAGTACACCGTGCCTTTTCCTGGTTACATTAGCCTAACCGTTTGTCTACAGAATCATTTACACATGCAAAAAGCAGGACAACATTTTCTTAAGCACTTAAGGGACTTAGGAAACCAAGTGCCATTTTCAATAGAGACAAGAGTACTTGGAAGTCCAAATTTTGCTGAACGTCAATGGAATTTGGAATGCTGCATGCCTCATTTGCTTCTGAAAAACAGGACCCAGGTACCCAGATCCTTACATGCTAGAAAACGTTGCTGTATTGCTTTGAAAATGCTCATAGTGCTAATGTAAGAGCTAAAACATGGTAATCTTAGCAAAATTGCTCTCTTTCAAATAAAGTAAATGGTGCCTGCGCTCTGGAACAAAGCGTAAGTCAGAAAGAAAAAAAAGCACAAAAAGCCCAGACTTACCAACCCTAGTAGGGTAAGAGGCGGACAGTCACGTCGCCCAGAACTCTCCTACTACAGCTGCTGTAAGAGAAGAGATTCTTACATACTCTTCTTCACTGCTGTCTGCGTGGGGAAAAAACCTGGCGCACACGTGATTCAGTTCTCCATTTTTTTCCTTTTAAAACAGAAGTGATGCCACTGGAAAAGCGTGCGGTTTTTGAATACAAAGTGACAGCAGATCTAAAAGAGGATGTTAAAAAAAATGAATTGAGATGTTTCTGACTGTGGTGCAATGCTGATGAGTTGCTAACTGCCATAATACATCATTTAAAAACAACAAAGGCTGTTAAAGGACAGGGTGCCTGTACTCCACCAGGCTGTTCAAAACTGAAACCGAATTCCACCAAACACTTCCATCTAGAGAAGTTCGGTTTTGTGCTATCATCCACCTGACTTCCAGAGGCGATGTTACTTACACCATTTCTCCTTTTGAAGTCAACAGCTAAATTTATAGTCTTGTGACCTTCTTCTGGAAGGGAAGAAGTTGGCAACTTCATTTCATCAAGATTTTGATGAAACACAAATATGAGAAGCTGCCTCTCTGAAAGCAGTAGCCATCAGACAGCTGCGGATGGTCTTGTTCGTCACTGATCAAAGACACTTTCTCTGGGCTCAAAAGTTACCTCTGTCTCAATGGCATGTCAGAGGTGCCCCCCCAGTGTTTTTAGCACGTCCTTCTCACGGAGGCTGAAGCCGAGCTCATGCACTGAGCCGCCCCACTAGATCCAGTCCACAGACAGTCTGAAGAGTTTTCTGTCAACGCCTTTGCTCAATTTCCTTTTTCTCAGAAGGTTAAAAAAAAAAAATCAGAAGCTGAATCTCATCCAAGTACTAGACAAAAGCTCTTAAATAGACACTGGCTAGTGTAATGATAGGAGCGAGAAAAAAATGTAAAATAAACTAGAGTGTAAAGATAACATTACAGCAACGTATTGATCGCAACCCATCATTCAACATTTTTTGGCAGTAAAATAATGACATGCCTTAGAAATGAATTAACGTAAGGTTTGAAGTAACTATGACCATGTAAGTCCAGTGGAGTCTCCTTACAATTATTCCTCTTCCCTCCTCATCACCTGTATTTCACAACAGACTGCAGTTTTTCTGGAGGCAGAATGAAAGCTATTTTTATTCCCTCTGAATTTATATAAAACTCATTTCACATTTAAAGGCTGTTCAAAATCACTTTATTTTTAATCATCTTACATGACTAATTTCTGCACGGTAGACGCGGTCGTGACTTCAACAGAGCACTCCTGCCCCCAGTCTCGGAGGGGACCAAACCTCACAGGAAACAGGGTGGTTGAAACTCCTTGTAGCTTTAAGCCTTGCCTCCTCCGCTGAGCTTGTAATTACTGCCAGCTGCAGCCACGGGTTTTGTGCAGCAGTTTTGACAAAACACAAAAGTAACAGAGAGAGAGAGGAAGAAATCAAGTTAGGTAATTAGTCTTGAGCAATTAGAAACAAGTCAGTTTTCATTTCAGTTGTACTCAGGTGTCAAACGCATCAATATTCAAGGAAATTAGTAACTTGCGATCAATAAAGATCTCACAAAAAAATCCCCCACGACCCAGCCCCTATATTTAGAAAAATACAATCAGAACAAGACAAACCCAAAGTTATTTCAGAAGCGGAAAACAGACTGCAGTTAGAAGAAACAGTCAGCAAGACACCTATGTCTGAATCCGAGGCTAAACTTAAAGCAGAACCTATAAAGAAAGAGAAGTAAGTGACAACACCATTCATACATGGAAAAAGTAAATAAAACAGCACTGTGTATTACCATACACAATTATCATATTACATGAACTACAGCCGCATGTGAACAAAGCCCCTTATTTCAGCCCAGACGACGCATTTCACGCGCATGCAGACGCCAAACAGAAGCTGACCACGTTAACCGGGGCTTCCCCCCGGCGTAGCTGCTGCAAGTCTCGTGTTTCCCCCCTAAACCAGCAGCACCGCCTTGACAACCCCAGCCTCCGAGC